CTCCTGCACTCGCCCGCCCACTCAGACCCCACACTCCAAGCCTGCAGCTCTGCAGCCCCCTCCCACACACTGAACCCCTCATTTTTAGCCTCACCCCAGAGCCTGGGAGGGGGGGGGCCTCAGAAAAATCTACTAGCCTGGCCCCTCCGGGCAGTGGTGCGCGAGGGGCGTGGGGAGGGGCTTTCTCCCTCTGTCGGGGGCCGCACCAGTGAGGGGTTGGGGTTTTTTTAACATATTTTTGCTGCTTTGCACTGTGCGGCCCCAGGCTGGTTTTTCAGCAGGGCAGCAGCCCCCGGCCCCACCAGGGTCCCACCCCAGCTGTCGGGGTGCGGTGAAGGAAGCAGAGGCCCTGCCGCTCACACAAAAGGAGCCCCCCCCCCATTTCCGGAGCGGCTGCCAATATACCCGGGGAGCGGGGTTGTGAGCCACTGAACCAAATTGCAAATTTTGCTTCAGATGGAAACCACTTCAAGTCGGGGAGCGGGGGGGGGGGAAGAAACCTGGTTCCAGTGTGTCCCAGCATGCTTTGCAGAACCCCGAAAGGAGCGCTACCGGCCAGGGCGCAGGGCCAGCCAGGCAGGGGGCACACGAGAGCGCGGTACCGACGCGTGCAGAGGGGCAATGACGGAACGTGACCCTTTCCACTGATCGCCCTCCACCCCTGGGCCAGGGGCCTGGGATTCCCGCCAACGGGCCCCCGGCCCCAGGGAGACCACTGGGGCGCCACAGCCCGAGAGGGGCCCGGTGCATGGTTGGCTGCGCACCCGACCAGGACCAAGGCTTCAGGACCAAGGCTTCCAGGACAGCCCGGAGACATGGCTGTTGCGGCGCAGCAGGGCTGTGCTCCTTGGGGGACAATCACAACCCCGAGCATCCCAGGAATGTCCTGGAGCTACTGTGGCCTAGTGGTTAGCGCAGCAAGGCAACAGCCCCACATGGTCCTGAAAAGCCGCATCTTGGGGCCTGCCCCCCACGCAGGCCCTGCAGGGAAGGGGGGCGTTTTAAAGGCAAATCCTCAGAGACAGGCCACGGAGGCAGGTCCAGAGTCATGCCCAGGGGGCCTTGCTGCTGGTGTTAGACCTGACGGAGGCCTGCCCAGTGGTGACCGTGTGCAGCCCGGAGGCGGCTTTATGGCCCTCCAACGCGCCATCTCTGCTCATCTCCAGGGTGGGGCTGGAGAGCGCTTGAGCCCGCCCACTGACGCCCCCCGGCTTTGTGTTTCCCTAGGAACGTTCCGAGGAGTGTGCAAAAAAATCGACCATTTCCCGGAGGATGCGGATTACGAACAAGACACGGCCGAGTACCTCCTACGTAAGTCTGCCCCCCGCCGACTAGCCTGGCCCACGCCCAGCCTGCACGCGCCCCTCGGGGGAGAGCGCGAACTCACGGAACATGAACGGCATCGCGCTCCCAAGGGGTGACACTCCTGGGAGCGTGGCCGTGCCTTTCCTTTCCACCCAGCGATGCCCCCTTTGTGAGGCCCGGAGCAGGCTAGGAGCTGAGCTTTCTGCTGCCTGAGCCACCCCCCACCCTCATGCCCTTTGGCGGCAGATCAGTAAGGGCCTGCGAGGTTTCCTGGCCTCCCCCCCAGTGGAGACTGCACCTCGTTTGGCAGTGCAGGTTACACCTCTAAAACCCATGGCAACACTCGTGGCCTGTCTGGACAGGGTCAGAGGCTGGGCGGACAGCGAGAAGTGCAGCCGCGGCGGCAGTGGGCCAGCACGGTGGAGAACACAGCCCTGGTCAGCGCAACCCCGGCAGGGCTGGGGGCAGCCAGGAGGGGAGCCTTGACCTCCCCTGGTCTGGCAGACTCTCTGGTTCAGGGCCGCTCAGGAATCATTCTACAGCTGATGAGCATCTTTAAACATCTCTCCTGTGGCCCTCCCAGGTCTATCCGGGACTCCCGCCCAGGGTTCCCTGGAGGCTGCGTGGCAGCACGGCCCCGCAGCTGCTTAACAAGCCCCACCCAGCCAGGCAGCACCGTGCGCGGAGCTCTGTTTACACCGGTGCTGGGCAAGCTACGTTCTGCTATGAAAGAGCGTCTGGCAGGAGACGTTCTCTTCCTCGCACACTTTTCTGAAAATGTACAATCTTCCCCAGCACAGCCGTGTGCGCCTGTGTTCTTTCGAAAGGCTTTAGAGACCAACCAATCATCGGTATCTGTGCTGCTCCCTGAGGTGAAGGCTAATAGGAGTTAAGGGCTGCGTGTTAAGGAGCGGATGCACCTGGCAGCTGAATTCACTGAGTGTTTTGCTTGCATGTTTGTTTTTTAGTCGAGACGAGCTGGTCACCTGGGTCTGTAATGATGCACCAGCCGTTTCCCGCTTGCAGTAATGAATATCAGCCTGCTCCTTGTTTCCTTGTAATGCTGGGGTACAGAAAGTGCCCGGCATTCAGCTACTTGTTCTGCGTTTATTCATGTGGGAAGTGGCGCGAGGCATTTTCTCTCCAGTCCAGCGGTCGCTGTTCCTGACTGCTGAGTGATGTTAAACTTTTTAATGGGCCTTCTGAGGGAGGGGAACCGTGTGGGGGCTTTTCTCGCCTTTCCAGCCTCTCTGCTGCAGAATTCACCCTTTGACTCTCTTGGAAAGGCTCGGAATGACGTTTAAAATCGCTGAGCAGAACAGGAAGAGCCATTGCTGTATGTGATAGACAATGTGGAGAGCACCTCGGGGGTTAGAAAAGCAACTTCCTATACCGGGGTGGGGAACCTAAGGGCTGAGGGCCTAATCCAGCCCTTAGCTTGTCTGGATCTCGCCCCTGAGGTTCGGGGCTCCTTACCCCCAGCATTGAGGAACCTGCACCCCCATCACCCAGACCCCTACCCCACTCCTGCGCACCCCCC